ACCAAGTCTGGCACTTATGCATTTTTGCGTATGCCGTTTGGCCTTTCAGGCGCCCCAGCAACATTTCAGCGATGCATGGACATTGTGTTAAGACCTGTTCTTGGAAAGTCCACATTTATCTATTTAGACGATATCATTATTACTAGTGATAATCTCGACCAACATGTACAGGATTTAAGACAGGTGTTTTCTTTATTAAATGAGGCCGGTCTAAAAGTTAATGTCGAAAAATGCAAATTTGCAGCCCCTGAATTAAAATATTTAGGTTACAAAATATCGCAAAAAGGGATCGAGACAGATGAATCAAAAATAATCGCTGTACAAAAGTATCCGACTCCAAACACGGCAAAGAAGCTCTCTTCTTTTCTAGGACTTTGTTCATATTATAGGTCCTTTATAAAAGATTTTGCGGCTATCGCTGAGCCATTGTTAAAATTAAAAAGGAAAAAGGCAAGATTCTCGTGGACGGCCGAAGCCAATAGTGCTTTCGAAAAATTAAAACAAGCATTAACGCAAGCCCCTGTGTTGAAATTTCCTGAAAAGGATGAAAATTTAGAAATTTCAGCGGATGCTTCGGATTATGCGGTAGGAGCGGTACTTTCGCAAAATCAGCAGCCCGTGGCATTTTTTAGCCGAACTTTAAATCAAACACAAAGAAACTATTCCGCGACCGAGAGAGAGGCACTTGCAGTTCTGTTAGCAGTGCAAAAGTTCCGAGTCTATTTTGGAAAGGCGCCGATAACAGTATATTCTGATCATGCGGCGGTAACTAGATTGTACTCAGGGAAAAATTTATCCCCAAGGTTAATAAGATGGGCACTCAAGCTGCAAGAATATAATCTGGTAATCAAGCATACCCCCGGAAAGGAAAATATCGTAGCAGATGCCCTATCACGAATTAAATTAGACGAACAGGGTAATACCGTAAAAGTTGCAATGCTGACAGCGTGTACAATAAATTCCCGAGAAACTGTAATAACCGAACTGGGTAAGGATCCTGAGTTTGGAAGTATTTATGAGTATTTGAAGGATCCTGAAAATTTTAGCCACCAAGATATTGTGGCGATAAGAAATAGGGCGGCCCATTACGAACTAATAGATGGTCTATTATTTTATACAAAAACTACGAATTCCAACAACGAATTTCGACCTGTTATCCCAGCTAGTCTTAGATTAAATATCCTGCAAGAGCTCCATGACAGCCCTTTAGCTTCTCATGCTGGTATTCGAAAAACTATCCAACGCGTACGCGAGGCAGTCTACTTTCCTGAACTGCAAAAGTTAACAAGGGCGTATGTCCAGTCCTGCCCAACATGTCAAGCCGTTAATTATATTAATTTCCGCCCGGCCGGGTTTCTAAATAGTATTAAATCCGAATTTCCAAATGAAATAATTGGCATCGATTTATTGGGCCCTTTCCCAAAAAGTCAGTTAAACAAAAGTCGCTATCTCCTTGTTATGGTTGATCATTTTAGTAAATGGACCGAAATTGTTCCCTTAAAACGAGCCTCCGCGAAATTAGTTACCGATTCTATTTTAAATAAATATATTTTAAAATACGGGGCGCCCCTAAAAGTTATATCGGATAATGGTCCTCAATTTGTAAGTAATATATTTGAAGACATGTGCCAAAAACTGGGCATACGTCATTTAAAAATGGTCCCGTATCGGCCGCAATCAAATATAGCGGAACGGGTCAACAGAAATATAGTGAAAATTATCCGTAGTTATGTTAAAAATTTTCATAAAAGCTGGGATAACTATGTCAATGAATTTGCTTTCGCCCTTAGGACCGCAAAACATGATACAACGGGCAAAACTCCTGCTGAGTTATTTCTAGGCAGAAAGATTATAACACCGTTAGATAAATTATTTTATGTGCAACAAAGAGCCCCAGAATTTAAAATGGGTGATATAGAAAAAACTAATAAAAGAAGCAAAAAGAATACGGAAGTAGCACAAAGAAAACAAAAATTGTATTATGACTTGAAACGACGGGGAGTAACTTATAAAGTAGGGGATGAAGTTTTAAAAATTAAGCATTCACTTTCTTCAGCACCAGAAGATAAAACTGCCAAATTTTTTCCACGATTTGAAGGACCATATGTTATAGAAAAAATAACTCACGCTGTTGTAGTGTTAAAAGCCAGAAATGGTGAAACCTGTTCCGCAAACATTGATCAAATCAAGCCCTACTTCGATCGTAATAAAATGCAAATCTTTTCAGATCTTTTGCAGGATCCGGTACGGCAGACACCGCAGGTACAAGTTCCAGAGGTGGGAAAACGACAAGTACAAGGGCAAGCCAATGAGAGACAGAAGCAAGTGAAAAGAAAATTGCCCCGCGGAAAAATTGAAGGTAAAAGAAAAAGAAGCCGTTCCACCGTCCAAAAACAGAGTTCACGAACACCCCCAGAATGAAGAAGGGAGAAGGACGACGTATGTGGAAAAGACCGGGAGAAATGACGGCAACTATAACCCGGCTGTAAAACGGAAGATCTGACTCATCCGACAGAACTCTCCGCAGCAAAAGTCGCCGAACTGCGGAAGGGCCATCAGCGGCGGAGGAAAAAGTACAAGAAAAATTTGAACGGCCAACAACGAGGTCCAAGCAGGATCACGACAGAAGTTTCCCGGTTCCACCAAGACCAGCTGCCTTCAAACGGCCAAGACCACAAGCAGAGGACAAAGGAAGATGTATTCAAGGGTGGCCGTACTGGTGAAAAACGGAAGCTTCCAGAGGAAAGCACTGAAGGGCGAGCCCGTACAAGAAGGAGGATCAACCAAGCTACGGTCTGCAGCACCTTTAAAGACTGGGCCCAGAAAAGGATGTCTGAATATTACAAAGATAAGTAAAATTTTATGTTACTTTACAAACTTAAGTTAATCTTTCATTCTTACTGCAAGTGGCAGATTTCAAGAAGTTTTACCTCATGCGAGGTCTACCTTTATCGCCAAAAGGGCGAGAAATGAGTTGTGACCGATTTTCTTATTATGTTTTTTTCAATTACTCGCGCGTAAAACTAAAGTTGATGTATAATAGCGTTGTGTAAAGACTTAAATATTGTAAAAAGTTATTGTATAAATTTTATTTAAAACATTCTAGCAAGAAAGAAGTTTTAGTCTGAAAGACTTTTTGAAATGTAGTATTATTTCAATGTAGAAAGAATTGGCACTTGCTTTGAAAAGAATAGAAGTTAACAATGTACTACTAATGTATGTTTTCAAATGTGTAAAATTAACGGCATCTTGATATGTTCTTGTATACATGTGAACTGTTATTTTAAATGTTTAGAAATACCGTGATATGGTAAAAGTGAAAGTAATGTTAAAAATTTGTTATTCGTGTGACTGTAAAGATTAAATCATGGTGAATATGTGTTAAAGATTGAATGATGTAGTTAGGCTCTCTGACGCTACACTTTAGAGTTAGCCACTTTCAGAATAGTACCTCAGGGTTAGAGTTGAAATTAGGGTGTGTTAAGAGGTCTCGTATGTTGAATTTTAACACGTTAGTGTTTTGATTGTAGGAGGAAGTGTTGAACACATAGACAGAAACACATTCGTGTTTGGTGTTTTTACAACACATGTCAGAGAGCACGGGGAGAGATAATTAAAATAGTCATGAATGAAATAAGAATGTTAAGAAAGTATATTCTATATGTTATTTGCAATGTCATTCTGTAACATTTCATTAAACTAGTTTTCCTTCCAGATCTCTGGAAGGAACCAGAATTGAATAAAGCTCCTGTTTAGATGCAGTACAGATGAAAAAGAAAAAGATTGTTGTATATTCCTGGGAGCTGCTATTGTAACAAATTTCTTTCTTTTAAAATTTTCTAGTTTCTAGCTAAGTTATGATTGTAAAAGGTTGGCCTCGCGTTAGTTTCTAGAGCTAAAAGTTTTCAACAAGGTCGTTTTAGACCTCAGTTTCAAACTAATTAACTCTGGCGGGAAGTATGTAAGGATCTTAAGTTTTACTAACGTTTATTTTATTTTAAATCTTTACTATCACTTCTTATTTTCTACTTCCGGCCAGAATTATAAGCGTGAAGGAGTTTTATGCAAAGTTTGTCTGGCGAACGCCAAGTATTTAAGTGTGGCCTTTTTGCCAAGCAGAAGAGAGGAAGCAGTGAGTTCGAAGCAGGCCGCTTACCTTAGAAGTTACGCAGTTGCTACTTTGCCTTCCAGGCCAGAGGTTTTAATCCTCTTGATAAATTAAACGTATTGTAGTGTTCACAGTCTCTGTGCTACATACGCTTCCTGTTATTATAAGGCCAATCTTATTCTAAAGTTAAATTAGAGTTTAGTTTTATTTTGATATCTTTTACGTTAGACCCCGAGTGGAGGGTCATTGTATTCCGAAGTACGGAAGTCATTGTATATAAAGAAAAATAAAGGGTTTTGTATACCCTTCGTCTGTATCCTGTCTACTTACTACAATTAGTGAACATAGCTTTAGTAAGCTCTCTGTTCTAGTCAGGTCATTGTATGTTTCCGAAGAAGGTTAGAAGAAACGTTGAACCTGATAAGCTTTTCAAAAGTTTGTTAAATTAGCATAAAATATGTATATATAAAGAGTGCAAACCCCATAGGCTGGTTTTTGAGGAATTTTATGTAGACAGTGACCTTTTTCTTGTTTTGAAGGTCCAATGTGAAAATTTTTATAAAGATGGGAATTAAATTGTAGATTTATATAAAAGACAAACACAAAAGCATTCATTTTTATGTATAGATATCAAATTATAAAAGCAATGAAGTTTTATTATGTTTAGAAACAGATTTGGTTTTAAGAAAACTTCCCATTTCCACGGTTATTTTATTTTTATTTATTTTTTTTTTGAGTAAACAGAGGATTTAAGCACTTCTAACACATATCTTTCTTAACATATTTCATAGAATTTGCTTTTTAAAAATCTAAAAATTATGTTGTCTTAGTTTTTGTTTCTTTGATTATATATATATATATATATGTGTGTGTCATTTTAATTTATTTAAAGGTCACCTTTTATTTGAAATGGCCGCTGGTTATGAACTTACTTCTTCACATCCATCTGAAAAAAATTATAAAGATGTAGAAAATAAACCATTAGTCAGTGATGTAAGTTTTCATTTTCTTTTTGTTTGAATGGGAGAAAAAAGAATAAAAATGCTAAAAAATGTATGATTATTATGGCTGTGTACATGCATATGTATTTCATGTTATGTCTCTTTTGATTGATATTAATGAAAAGAAATAAATTTTGTAGGTTTTAAAGTTTATTTTTGAGCAGGGTCGTTATCGTTTCCCCACTTTACAGCAAGTGAGTGAAATATTAAAATCTTTTTCTGCTTTTAGTTTTATTTTAATTGATATCTACTTATGATTTTAATTTAAATATTTCTTAGATTGCAAGTCTTGACTTTTTCCGCCATATTGATTTAAGGGAATTGCGCTCCCTAATGCCAGTGGTAAGTTATTATATCGTTTTCAATTGGATACACTATAAGAGGATATGTACAATAATTTATGTAGGAGCATATCATTATTTACACATTTATATGAAGTGCAAGTAACCCTCTTCCAAAAAAATCTTACTTTAAATTGTGTAAGAAGCTTCAGTAATATAAAGTAACTAATAAAGCTTTAATTTGCATATATAAGCCAAAAAAAAAAAAAAAAAAAAAAAAAAAAAAGCGTTTAATGATGAGAGTTTTTTCACCTGAAAAAGCCACTTTGACAACAAAAATTTAAAAAAATGATATTAAAAAATGCAAAATATGTAAGCATAAAAAATAAGAACAGTAAAAATAGATAAACATATAAATAAAAAAGTTCATGACAGAATGGGAAAAAGCTCTTAAATTGTAAAATACAAGGCAAAATGGAATATTTACAATGAAGCAAAAGCATGAATGCTGAAGTAAACACTAAAACTATATAGCAATAAAAAGAAAAATTCAAAGATATTCTTTATTTTAAAAATAAAAATCTGATCTGGACACTCATAACTTCTGTGTACGGCTTATTATAAACATTTTTTGCTGCACATCATGTAAACTTATTTCCTCAAACTGTTCTAACTTAACTAACCAGTCTCTCAAGGTAAGTGGAAAATGACATCAAAAATTGCAAATTTTAAAATTAAATACCCTAATCAATTTTTGTCATAGAGTCAAATTTTTTGTATTTTTATTTTTTCATTATAAAAATTTTCTAAATACAAGTATAGGAATTGGGAGACCACGTTAAAAATTAGATTATGTTAGTTGCCCAAAATTAATTGTATTTTAAATTTTTGACATAGCCAAAATGGGGATATTTTTGTCATTTAAAACACATCTGTATTTTTGGTGTCCTTGAATTATTCTAACATCGTTAACTGATTCGATGAGACAAGTTGAAAATGGCACCAAAAATTATAGATTTTAAAATTAAATATCCTATTCAATTTTTGCCATATGGGAGTCAAACCTTTTGCAATTTTACTTTTTCATAATGAGTATAAAAATGTTTTCGTACATAAGTATAGAAACTGGGAGACCGCATTTAAAGGTAGATTTTTGTTATTTGTCCAAAATTATTTTTTTTAATGTTACACTACTTATTTTCATCATTTAAACACTTCTGTATTTTTGCTGCACTTCATTTAAACTTGTTTCCTCGAATTATTGTAACTTAACTAATCCCTCAAGGCAAGTTGGAAATAACATCAAAAATTGCGGTCCATTTCATCATGTAAAACTTTTCTGTAATTGGAAGTATATGATTACAACCAATGATTGCAAAAATAAAGACTGGTTAAGGACTTTTAAGCTGGGTTAGGGTGTTGGCATATATATATATTTTGGTACTGCTGATTGCAATAAAAAAAGCAAAGTGCACAACTAGATGTTATAACAGCCCCGTATACAAAATTTGAACATTCTATCGCTAATATTTTTTGAGTTATGCATGGTATATGCATATGTTCGTACAGATGTCACAAAAAACTCCCTTTTGAATCCATTTTAAATCAGTTTTAAAAATCTGGTTCAGAAAAAGGGGTTCTTTATTCTGTGTGTACACATAGATGTCACACACGCCAAAAAACATCCTATGGATTCAGGAATTGTCAAAATATGTATTTCTGATGAAATACCATGATCGAAATTATTTAGGGTTGGAATACTTACTTTTTACTTCATACAAGTAAGTAAAAAGCAGTAGTAGTTTAGAGGGGTTGGGGAAATGGGCAATGAAACTACATAGTCTGATTTGACATACAATTGCAGCGAGCTAGTAAGCTGCAGTTCTTACCTTACTTGTTTACTTTTGAGAAAATTAGAAGTTTAGAAATTTTTAATGTGTTATGTGGCCAAAAAAATGAATGAAGAAGGAATCTATAATGCCTAAATTCTTGTAAAAAATTAAGAAAATATAATAAACTGAAAGAAAAATGTAACCATTCTATAAGAATCAGATTTTAACAAAAGTTTACTGCCACCACAAATATCATCTGCACGAACAGTTTGCATTGGCTTGTTTAATTATATTTTGTCAAACGATTTTTGGAATTTGAAAGAAAGAAACTTGCTTTAGAACAGTGTGTTATGAAATCTGTAAAAAAATATTGTTATCATTAAATACAAGGTGTCTAAAATGGAACTCTCACGCTACCAGATTAGAACCATCATTTATTTCCAGTTCTGTTGTAAAACATCAGCTACAGAATGTTACGAAATCATGTGTATAGCTTTAGGTACTAATGCTGTATTATATGACACTATGAAGGTTTGGTACAGAGAGTTCAGAAACAAGGACTATAATATTCGAAAAGCAGAGTACTCTGGCCGGCCTACTGATGTCGATGAGGCCCACCTGTGAGAATTTGTGGAAGATCAGTATGCAACCACTCAAGAGCTTGTTAAGGAGTTAAACGTCAGTGCCATGTCCATCAATCGTGCTGTGCGTCGCATAAACTTCACATACAAGTTCAATTAATGGGTACCGCATAAGCTGACTCAATCAGATAAGGATAGACATGCTTGGGTCTGCTCTAATCTGCTCAAATATCAGATTTCATATGATTTGATTTATTTTTTAATAGTTAAGCTACATTGTTCATTTCCATGTCTTTCATATTCTTCGTTTATATTCTTTAGAGACTAAGACTAAAAACTAATCTTGAAACTACTAGAAAGCAATGAAAATAATCTTACAATTTGGAACAAATTAGCTTTCGGAAAAGATCCTAATGTCAAGGAATACTAACAAAAAGCCTAAAAACTAAAACAACTTTCTGTAACCATATGTGATCACCAGTTTCTATCCTCATGTTGTTAAAGTGTCTAGTGCTTTGAACTTTTAAAATAAAGTTTTTTTTTAATAAGGTTCTGTAGGAAATATTTCATATGTAGTCTTTATCGTGATTAATTTGAAATAATTTCATCCCTTCTACATCTGATTTAATTTAAAAAGATTCGAGAAAAGTAAAATTTTAACTTTTACTCACACACACACACACATATATATATATGCATACAAGGTGTCCCATAAATCTGAAATATTTTAAAATTCATAAAAATTGAAGGAATTGATAGAATTCAACACATTTTGCGAAAATGTTATTCTTGTGGAGGGGGACTTTTTTTGGTGGGAAAAAATAGTTAAAATTATCGCCGATAGGAAGCAGCGCACACACGCAGTAACAAGAAATGTATATAAATTAGAGACCAGGTTTTATGATTAACAGCTCATTTATGGTTTTTCCTCTTATGGTATGTACATAAAATTTGTGATGCTGAAGTGGATAAAGCATTATTAGTGAAGTTGTTTTACCTCAATTAGTAATTACTACCTGAAACTTTACAAAGGTTTTCGACACTGAAGGGATGGAAGAATCATTCTTTCAGGTCCAATCATTCTTTCCAGACTGACTTCCCAGGTAGAACATTTTGAAGAAGCAGGAAGTATCATCACCTTCATAGCAGTGCACCAAATTTGCCAGAGGTGTGGACTTCTTATGTGGCTTTGCAGATTGATACTTTAAGTGAACAATCAGCAACTGCAGTAAGTAGCATGCGAGAAATGGCATGGAACAGTGGTATACCGAAGGCATTGGTATTCCACATCTTTCACAATATTTTTAAATTGTACCCGTACAAGTTGCAACCAGTCCATTAGCTCTTATCAAATGGCAAAACTAAGCAATAGGAATTCTTAAACTGGCCTTTTTCGAAAATCAGTGATGACAGTGATCCGCAATGACTTCTCAATATCTCGTGGGCAGATAAGGCTCATTTTTCATTGCATAGAACAGTCAACATCCATAACTGTAGAATCTGGGAAAAGGAAAACCATGTGCCTATACTGATTAGCCTCTAAATTCACTGTGTTTAAGTATTTGGCGTCTTTTCATGTATATAATGTTGTGAGCCCTTTCTTCTTTGAAAACCACTGTGTGAAAGCTGTCTGGATACTGGAAAATGCTACTTGTAGCTGCTGCGAGAGAACGTGATGCTGCATTTAATGGAATATAATGTCCTTGATGCTGTGACATTCATACAATATGGGGCACCTCCTCATATCACCACTGAAGTGAAAATGTTCCTAAGAAAAACTTACCGAAGAGTGATAAATTAGCCATCACTGTAGAAATGAGTGGTCGCCCTCACTCGCCATACTTACACCACTTTTTTATTGGTTTTGGAATTATGTCATGTTCAGAGTGTATCACAATAGCCCATCTTTTGTACAGTCAAAGGATGCCATTTGTCATGAAATCTCTTGCATCCATTCAGATATGCTACAGGTTATCAAATATGCTACATCCGTTCAGATATGCAGTTAACGGTGTTGTAACTCACTTGCAAACTGTAATTTGTGGAATACATAGAATAAGACTAATATACTTGCAAACATATGCCTGCATGCAAATATAGTTTTCCTTGAAGTATGTGATTGAAGAGATGAAAATTTTAAATCTTTTTCCCTTCTTTACCCCCTTCCCCCCAAAAAAAAATCACCTTCACAAGAGTAACTTTTTCACAAACTGCATTTAATTCTACTTATTCCTTAAATTTTTATGAATTTTTAAAATATTTACAGACTTGTGGGACACCTTGTTTATTTAAAAATATGTGAAGAAAGTTAAAAATTCAAGAGTTTTCATCGAGTACTGCATTTGCTAAATTTAATTTATATATTCTTAATAAATATAAGTGTATTTTTATAAACTGTATTCCTTAGTTGCAGATTTCAAATTTTGCTTTAATTAAATTTTTTAATATTAAATCATTTGTTTTGCTTTTTTTTCTTATTTTCACAAGAAGATTCAAGAGATTTGATAACATTTTAGAATTCTCGGATTTAAATTTGAGAAAATTTATAATTCATCCCATTCCTGCGGTTGTGAAAACAGAAAGAAAATTTGCATGTGAAGATCATCATGCTTTAAACATTCTATTTTCATTTTCATCAAACACATGAATATTCCATTTACAATATTTATGACCTATTTACAGTATATCTATTTATTACCTGAAAAAGTAGCAGCATATAAATTCAGGGTTCTTACAGTCCTTGAGTCCTAAAATTCCTTAAGTTTTTTTAAAGCAATTTTTGGTCCTTAAATGTCCTTAATTTTGGCTAAAATGGGTAGAAGATCCTTAATTTTAATCATCAGAAATTTCTGTCTGTTTTTATGACTGCCATTTTTAGTGTGAATGAGCATTTTGGAGGAATATTTTTGGCGATCACTGACAAATATGGTTATCTTTTGAATGGGTTCATGGATTGTAGTTTGTTCCTATTTCCAATATTAATGGTGGGATACTTGAGTTTCTGAGCAAGAAATGAAACATAATCATTTTGAAATTATTTCATTTTTTTTTCAAATAAAGAGCTATTAAACAACTTTTAGCTTTTAGGGATGTGAATTTTTTTTATTAAATGGTTCTAAATTTGATGACTTATCAACATTTTGGCGATTTTGAGATCAGTTTCTGTAGAAAATTTTTAATTCTGAGATCTGGGAATTTTTCGACAATTTTTTTTAAACATTGTAACACTGATAAATGTCATTAAAATAATGGTAATATGTTGAAGTTATATTTAAAAAATAACATTTTTATAAAACATTTCTATTTTTTGCTGTCATATTATATAGTTCTATTTTGGCCACCTATTATACAATATTTTGAATCTGAAAAATAAACAAGGTATAATGCTATAAAGCATAATTTATGAAACAGCTCTTAGCAAAAGCAAAATAGCTGTGTGATTAATTAGAAATAACTTCTTTTCAATATTTTTATGGTAAAAGCTTTTCCCATGTTCTTGTCTCAGAATATTCAGAATTTTCAGAATATGCATCAGTTTTCTCTATAAAATTAATTTTATACTTTTCCCCTCTTATTTTTTCCCCAAATATTTCTGACCTTTTCTGTTATAAAATTCATAGGTGTAATTTTTATTTAGAATTTTAGACATTGCTGGAAAGTTTAGAAGGATTTGAAGGCAAGATTTATAGACCCACGATTCTAGAAGATTTCAGAAAAATGTAATAAAATGAAAAATGCCTCCATAATACTAACATGTCATGGATGTATTTTACAGAAAGTTTGCGATGAATTTCTTACTTTTTGGAGAACGTGTAGAAGAACAATGAAAACATAATATAAATATTTTATTTATGATACTAAAATCTTTTTCTTAACATGTTTATCTTCCCCTTATTTCCCCTGCTTTTTACTAGAATGCACAAGCATGGGAAATATCAAAAATGCATCAATCCTATCACATGGACAGGCATTATAGAAAATTATTTTTTCATTAATAAAGAAATTGAAAACTGACAATTTAAAAGATTCATCTAATATGCCTTAATGCATCACACACAGGTTTGGTGCTAGACATTTTCCTACCTGATGCAATCTATGTGGATCCTAAATTCTGCTGCCTAAGTGCCTTTCTAAATTCTAAAAGTTTTGTCATTTCTAGACTTTGTTGCTTAGTGTGTAACTAAATTCTAAAATTCTGCCACATAAGCTCTGTAACCAGCCCTTACCATATATATTTCATATTTCTTCTGAATGTTCATATGACTAAAATAAAATTAGCAGCTTTTTCTATGCATTCTAAATGTATTTAGTTTTTTGGAATAATAGAAATCTTTAAATCCAGAAAATCCAAAATGAAAAGGAAGTGCATTGAAGAAAGAAACTGAATACATAAAGAGAAAGAAAATTATTCTTCGAATGTATGTACAGTTATTATTATGTAAATTACCCAGTTGTTTATAATTTCAGCCTTTACTATAATTTCTCATTTCGATTTCCTCACCAGAATGCAAATCACTTAGGCAGTTTTTAAATTGAGGTTTTTGGAGTGTAAGACAGAGTGTGTTTCTTATCTCTGCATGTTCTCTGCATTAGTTCCTGCCAGCTCTGATCATTTGTAATTTGCTGACATTTGAATTTGTTATAAAGATAGAGTTACTGAGCCAGCATAAATTAAAATTATATTGTATAATCTTTAAGTCCACATATTTAGTTTGAATTTGACTCTTATTTAATTACATCACCATGAGCTATAATTGATTTTGTTAGCATAAGATAATGTGTGTTCTAAGTTCTTTTTAAATAAGAGGCTTATTTAAAGTGTTATGTGTAGTTACTTTCACACATAGCAATAATTTGCTTCACGTCTGTGTGGGGATTTTGGACTGTTTAACTTTTACCAGATCGAATAAACCCTCATAGGTACATTGTTTAAGAGGTTGACAAGTTAGGAGATAAAGCATGCAGAAACTAGTGAGAACACTGGTTTGCGAATTGAGACAAATTTATAATTGTTAGAAATTCTCTTAAAGAGAAGGAAATTGGTTACATATATTTTAAACTGTGAAATTTTATTAGATTGTGATTTTAATAGGACTTTTTAAAGAAATATTGTTAAAAATAAATAAAATTTAATAGTAGCCATGTAAATCCATAATGACTGATGTTATCTAACTAGCTAATTTAATTAAATTATTTATAACTAACTTCTTACCCTTAAAAATTATATCTGCATATTAAAGGGAGTTATTATCTTTCATTTATCCTTACCGTGGTCACAAGATAAAACTGAAAAATGTAAAATTCATGTAAAGCTTATTGAGCGCATTTAGTAAGACTTGAAATAATACAAAACATTTTGTCACTCTAGTGCTTTGGCTTATTGGAATAATATTAAAATATTTTAACTGGGTTACAACCCCTAGAACTCTACACAAAGCTACAACACTAACTGCATCAGACAGAGCCCAATTAACTTTCAAAACTTGCCAACTGTGCCTAGATCAGGCCTTTCAGATTTGTTCTGATCAGCAAGTTTCTCTCTAGGCAAGCAGCAGCAATGACAACAGCCACTCTTTTGTTGTGAATCATGCTGATTATGGATTTTACTTCTCATTTTAACCTATGCCACTTGACATAAAATCTGCTTACTCTTTACTAAAGCTCTAGACTGAACAAGTATGTGAGAAAATGAGATATAAAATATAATCAACTTAAAACTAGCTATTATTAAAACATAAATAAAATGTCACTTATCTCCTTTCAAATATGTTCAGCTTTTATAAGTGTAAAATATATAATGCTCCTTGATAAATTTCATAAAGTTTATTTATTCTCGAACTTATTAATAATTATGTTAATTATATTTAATAATAGTGCATCCTACATACTGATCTCTTTTTTTAAGAATGGTATTACAAAAATGAAGTTCAGGCATAAATTATATTTTATTTGAATTCAGTTCCCGTTTGCTTATAGGTACTTAATTTTTTTCGTTAATGGTCCTTAAAAGTACTTAATTTCCGTATCATGAACCCTGTTAATGCTTCTTGTAACAAAAATCACACCCGACGTTTTTGGACTTGTAGTTATCAATAGCTATAATATAAATAGTTAAAATTAAGGATTAACTGCAGAATTTAGAATTTTGATGTCAGCTGTATAAAATTTGACACTGATTTTTCTTTTTTCCTAATAGCCATCAATAAAAGCAAAACTGAGTTCAGCAGCTCGGGCTGTCTTGAAGGAAGTAAAAAGGCATCAAAGATCTAGAAGGTACATATAATTTGTTTAAATTTTTTTCTAAAAATTTTATCATGCAACTTAAAATTTAAATTAGTAGATGATAATTTTTAAAATTTGAGAACTAAAACTTCGTTTGTATATTTTTTCTTTCGTGTACTGCTTAATGCAGCATACTGGCCATAGGTGAGTAAATTTATCGAAGCAGCCAGCTTCTAGTAGTGCCCCATATCTATCTAATCACATTTCTGAAATTTTCTCTTTTGAATATTTATTTTAATTTTTATTTGACTTTGTGTAATTATTTAAGTAAAATTGAATTTTTATTATCAGTTTTTCCCTTGTACCTATTCTCATTTAAGGTTATTATATAGTTTTATGCCTTTTTTAGAATATTTTTAAAGAAACAGGTGCATGCTTTTGTCAGCTGATTTAATAAAGCACATATAAGATAGTTGTTGGTATGTTAAATACAGTCATCCCATAGTTAAGAAGAAATTCCTACACAGAATGTAAATTTTTATTATTTTCTGTGGCAATATAATACTAGTTTTTAAAAAATAAATTATTTTAAAAAATAATCCTTTTAAAAATTATCTGAAAAGCAACAACATGTTATTTCATTTATCTAAATAATGTTTTGGGGATAATAGTAAATATTCAAGAATAGGGAATTTAATAAATATCTGTAATATATTTGATGGGGGAAAAGATTTGCATCTGTTGTGCATTTTAGAACAATAAGAGACATTGCTAGGGCCCATCCTGGGCAGTTGAGCTAATGAAGAAGAAAAGAGACATTATTGCCTCAAATGTGTAATTTTATTCTCATATGTTATAATTTGATCGTTTCCTTTGATACAGCAAGTTGGTTCAAGTACGCTTGAAGAGATTAACATCTCCTTTTTTATCTATCTTTCATTCAAATTAGCGGAGGATACATAAAATTTACATTATTAAATGAAAATAATATATGCAGTAATCGAAAAGTTTTGGATCTGTAGCATAACAACTATTCTTTTAATATAAAAGCTATGGTTGAATAACAAAATTACTAGGTGTTTGTTATTTTTAGATGCTTATGTATAAAGCTGTGATACATGTATTAATATTGTTGCCCTCAAATATGAAGTGTGCCAGCATGTAGATATTGCTCTTCTCATGTTAAAAAACATAAATTAATATGAAGATATACTTGAGTGACTGAGATGCATTCTTAAAGTGAAATGTTTATGTAACCTCAGTAAAGATATCATCATGTTATCTATGAGTATACAGGGTGCTTATAAATTAATAATGTGGTTTCATAAAAATTAATAATAAATCAATGGTATTATTTTATACAGTACAGGGTGCGGCTGAACCAGTTGAGCAGTTTTGAAGAGTTATTAAAAAGAAACCAGGGTATATATGAAACAAATGTTTTTATTTTTGAAATCAGTGGGACTTAACCATTTTATACTCATTGATTTTTTAAATAATGTCTTTAAGATGGCAGCTGTTCACTGCAATACATTGCTGGAGCCGATTTCTGAAGTTTTGAACAGCCTGCTGAGACATTTTGTGGGGTATCACGTTTACTTCTTCGACAATCCACTCCCTTAGCTGTAACAGGTTTTTGGAGTGATGTTTAAACATAAAAATCTCCTCCCTTAGCTGTAGCAGGTTTTTGGAGTGATGTTTAAACACACTTTCTTTAAGATATCTTTCAGATTTTCTTTTTTGTTGGACACCGTACAGAAAACGTTTACTTTTAGAGAGTCACGCTGATGCTCTATATATATATGTGCTTTCTTGTTTCCCCAGATATGAACATCATTTTTTTTCACCTTGCTACTTACATGGAAAGTAGCTTCAGTGCAGAAGATGAGTCTTCTTGCAAAATCATCTTCCTCCATTTTTAATTGCATCTCTTCAGAAAAGTCAGAAAAGGCATGCCTTTTCACTTTGTCTGCTGGTGTAAAGGTCTGCACTAATCCTACTTTGCGTTGTTTAAAACATAGGCACTTATGTGACACCTTCCACAATGTATTCTTTGGCATGTCTAATTCCATGCTTGCCTTACTAAGTGACTTGTAAGCACTTCGTTGAAATTCCTCGCACACTCTTTCATTGTTTCATCAGACATATGAGATCAACCAGAACTCTTGCCTTTACAAAGGCATCCAGTTTTCACAAACTGTTGGTATCCCCCTACCTTATGTTAATCTTATGTAGTGGGTGTTTCCTAAACTATGTATGAAACTCGCCCAGCATTGTAATCACAAATCTGAACCATCTTAAAATCAAGCATACAGAAACCCTTTTCCTGTTGTGACACCATCTTGGAACTGATGCTGTGGCTAGGCAGTAGACATAACAAGCAAACAGCAGGTAGTGCCTGAGAAACTTCGATAGCTCCGGTAGTGCATGAGAAACTTGGATAGCTTCCAATGGTTACTGTGTCGGCTTTACAACAAATAATGTAATACATAAATTTATTACTGAAACATTCATTTATAAACACCCTGTATTTCCTCCTATTCAGATTCTGAAGCAAAAGTTAGATACCATAAAATGGGTATCTCTTACTACCATCTTTAGTCTGCTAAAATGTCCTTGAAAAGGCAGTAAATTCTTGATAGTAGAGCCTGTTAGAATTTTAAGGCTACAGAGCAGCATAATTTCTATCAAAAAGGCATCTGGAACCCTTTAAGCATTATGGGTTTAGCCCTGAAATTTTAAAGTTCCTCGAAGTGTCATAAATAAATGATATTTTCTTAACTATAATTAAAAAACGACTCTCTCTCTTTTTTACCTTGATTCCTTTCTTCCAATGTACATCCAAGTAAAAATCGGATACATTAAAAGCTGAAAGAAATTTTCATATGTGATGAATGAGAAAGTCACCTTTCTACATGAAATTTTACATCAATAATTCTGAGAGAGTTAATCTGGTTGAACATTCAGGTTTATTACCTTGTAACACCAATATAAATGTTTTGATTAGCTCTTAAACAAATACAGTTATTAGTGATAACTATATACTTTTAATTAGTTCTTTTATTGTTGTAGTTTGGCAAGCAATTACTTTTTTGATGTAAATCATAATAAATATTTATAATTCTTATTTGTGGTGATTTTTAGTTCTTAAATCTTCATGTTATAAAAAAATTTTAAAGAATGAATTAAAGTTAATGAAACTGAGGGATGGCTGTATAGTTTAAGATATGAAAATAATATATTCTCTCTTAATATGAGCACTGCATCTGTGTTTTTGAAATATTTAGAGCATTTAGTTAGCAGCATTTGAATATAGTGAGAAATAGTATTACTACAAGGATAAAATGTCAGTTGCTTTTATTCAGTTGTTTCTTTAATTATTAAATTTTTGTTTATTTGTGTTATGAATATTTTATTGACTTATGTTCGCAAAATGTTATTACTTGGTTAACAGTATTTTAAATGAATTTCTATTAGTAATAAAAGCAATATTAATTCTCAGTAGCATCATTCTTGTTTAAAAATAAAATTAGCTTTTTCTAGTTAATTAAAAAAAAAAAAAAAAAAAAAAAAAAAAAAAAGAAGGGGGCTGAGAGCTTTAATGTTTATACATTGGAAATTTACTTTAGATGATTTTTTTTTTTTTTAAGTATGATTTAACAATACTTAATTCCAAACTGAATTTCTCAAAAGAATTATGAAGCTCTTTCTCTTTAGCTGTCTATAAAAAATTAGCTTTTTTCTAAATAATAATTTCAATAGGCTGCAAAATATTTCATTTTCAGCTCACATTCAGCTCAAGTAAATTCAGATTTAGGACTAGAATTCTTAAAAAGCTGAATTTCAGTTCTAAAGGTTTAGAATTTTTGTCAAATTATATTTGCTTTTTTTCTTAAAATTAATTTACATTACAGGTTTTTGACATTAGAAAATCTATAGCTCAATTTTTTTCAATATTTTATTTATTTATTTATTAAGTTATCAATAATTTATCTTTCAGATTAAAATTAGATGTTGCCTTGTAAACTGAATAATTTAAAATCTATGATGTATGCACTTTTTATTACATTTTTTTGTATATTTTTAACAATATCTCTGATGCTATTTATAATCCATCTAATTTATATAATTTAAAATATATCACTGAAAATTTTTGTTGACATTAGCATTGGTATTTTAATAAGAAATGACGTCTCTAATATAATTTTAATTTTGCATAATGTTACAGAAGAAAAGTATGTAAGTCACATAACAATGATTTTATGCAGCGACTCCCATCACGGCCACCAAAACTCTGCACAGCCAGATTCCTTGGTTGGAACTTTAATAGTGTCAACACAGCTGAAAAAACGCTATGCAACAAAACCAAAGAATATCGCGTATACCACACGTGAACTACATACCTGCCTTACCTCTCAGCAAAAAGACTTGTCCTGCCTATGTCACGTGCACGCGGAGTGACGCGAAGAATGGATCCTTGTATCAGCTTGCAGTCTAAAGTAAGTGTTGCCAGGGTGTTTTCAAAACAAGAACAACAATGTTGGATAAAAATTGAATGTGCCAGAGGTCGTACAGCACGACAGTGTCATCAAGGGCTTCAAGAGGCTTGCGGGGAATCTGCATTGCCTTACAGAACCGTAGCAAGATGGGTGAAAGCATTCAATGAAGGACGCCAAAACGTGGCAGACATGCAGCGGCCAGGTCGTCCGAGTGTCAGCGATGCTGACGTGCAAGCTGTTGACGCACTAATGGACAGTGATTCGCCGCCAAACGGATTCATCAGCTGGCTGGACAAACAGGATTAGCGCATATGACTGTGTTGCACATTCTGAAGGAATGCCTGTCCATAAGAAAAATTGCTTCACGATGGGTTTCCACATCACTTGACGGAAATGCAGAAATGGCTACGATACAATGCTGCCAGAACCCACCTGGAGCGCTATGAGCGCAAAGGAGATGCTTTTTTACGGCATATCATTACGCTGGATGAGACTTGGGCGCGATCGTACCAGCCAGAACTGAAACGCCAATCAAACGAATGGTGTCATCAC